TATCTATCTGTCTCTATCTATCTATCTATCTATCTATCTATCTGTCTGTCTGTCTATATCTATCTATCTATCTATCTATCTGTCTGTCTGTCTATATCTGTCTGTCTATATCTATCTATCTATCTACCTATCTATCATTCTATCTATCTATCTGTCTGTCTATATCTATCTATCTATCTATCTGTCTGTCTATACAGAGAGAGAGCGAGAGAGAGAGTTTGTTTATTAATTTATTATTTATTTTAGTTAAATGTTTAAAATGTTGCGGTAGAACTTTTCAAATGTTTTATTTTATTTGCCATTTTATTTGTCATCTTTATTTTATATTAATAAACTAATACATTTATATTTTGCTTACTTTTAATCATTTTGATTATTTAATGTTTATTTATAAAAAATAGAAATCACACAAAACAGGGATTTTAATTGATTAAAACATACAGAGTTTCAAATATGGTAAACCTCATAAACTGAAAATAAAATAAAATGCTTACATTCAGTTTTATTTTATTATTTGATGACTATCCTCTATTGATGGTGTCTAGTATCAGAATTGTCAACAGGATTGATGTTAATGAGTCTCAACTCACAATACAATTCTTATGCTGCACTCCTGAACGTGGGTTTGTGTGTTTGTACCTGTCATCACAGTAAGTAAACTTCATGTCCATGCTGTGGCGACTCAGGAAGGTCTTGCTGTCGAGCGGCGTGTCGATGTTTGATGGATGGGCGATGGGCTCACACATCATGACCACACAGGAGAGAGGCGGCTCTTTAAATCCACACAGCACTCGTGCGGGACAGCCGTTACACACCTTCAGGTGCCCTGTGCAGTGCAGCACCTGAAAGAACAACCGGCACCTTTATAAAGCCTCACGACCGACGTCTGACTCCAGGCCAGCAATTATGGTAAAGAGAACCTATTCACCTTCCAGCTGGCTGACTTGAGGTTGACGGTGCGCCCGCGATTCGTGACTGTGCATTTCATTCTCATGAAGAAATCCCTCTCTGTGCTCAGCTCCTTGCCTTTCTTTCCCATGCCTGTAGATTAACACACACACACACACACACACACAGAGAGAGAGAGAAACGTAAAGAGCGTCTTCAGTTTAGACATGGGCCAAAAATCCCAGGAAAACATTCCTAGCATTCTCCTTCCGTGCAAACGGAAGCCTAAACTCAACACAAATATTTTTTCTTTGGTTATCAAATTCCAAAAGATCTTACAGCACTTTCAGCTTTTGATATTATCACTTTTATAAAAATAAATGTGTAAGCTAAAACCAAGCAGAATTACAAGCTGAAGTAAAATATGACTGTTTGAACAGTTAATGCAGTATAAATGCATATCTTGTTCTTAGCGAACAGTTTGCCATTAGGCTTTCCCTCATGTTTTGCACAGAAGTGACAAGCGTTCAAAGAACAGTTTGTGTTCCACAGAAGAAAAGAATCATTCATGATTGAAATGACATGAGGTTGAGTAAATGAGGATCATTTTAAATTTTTGGGTAAACCTTTTCTAAGTGTTTTATTTTATTACCACTTTTTATTCCATTATAATGGTTTAATTTAAATTTTAGTCATCAAAAAGCAAAAAACGTATACAATTTAACAACAATTTAATACAATCTGAAGAAAAACTATTTTTAGGGCCTTATGAAATCCCTTTTATGTATTTAAAATAATTTAAAAATAATAATAAAAAAGTTATTTTCCTTTTTTTTTTTGTAGATTCCATTCTTTTCTGTTGTAATTTTTTTGGGGATTCCATTTTAATGGTTTCATTTAAATTTCAGTAATCAAAAAGCATGTCTAAATAATTGAAATAATTAAACAAACGATTTAACAACAAATTATTAAAGAAAAATTACATTTATAGGGCCATCTAAAATCCATTTGATTTTTTCCCAAATTATGCTTTTTAATTTATCTGGAGTCTGTTTCAATAAATATAATTAAAGGTTAATAATTCTATCTATCTATCTGTCTGTCTATACAGAGAGAGAGCGAGAGAGAGAGTTTGTTTATTAATTTATTATTTATTTTAGTTAAATGTTTAAAATGTTGCGGTAGAACTTTTCAAATGTTTTATTTTATTTGCCATTTTATTTGTCATCTTTATTTTATATTAATAAACTAATACATTTATATTTTGCTTACTTTTAATCATTTTGATTATTTAATGTTTATTTATAAAAAATAGAAATCACACAAAACAGGGATTTTAATTGATTAAAACATACAGAGTTTCAAATATGGTAAACCTCATAAACTGAAAATAAAATAAAATGCTTACATTCAGTTTTATTTTATTATTTGATGACTATCCTCTATTGATGGTGTCTAGTATCAGAATTGTCAACAGGATTGATGTTAATGAGTCTCAACTCACAATACAATTCTTATGCTGCACTCCTGAACGTGGGTTTGTGTGTTTGTACCTGTCATCACAGTAAGTAAACTTCATGTCCATGCTGTGGCGACTCAGGAAGGTCTTGCTGTCGAGCGGCGTGTCGATGTTTGATGGATGGGCGATGGGCTCACACATCATGACCACACAGGAGAGAGGCGGCTCTTTAAATCCACACAGCACTCGTGCGGGACAGCCGTTACACACCTTCAGGTGCCCTGTGCAGTGCAGCACCTGAAAGAACAACCGGCACCTTTATAAAGCCTCACGACCGACGTCTGACTCCAGGCCAGCAATTATGGTAAAGAGAACCTATTCACCTTCCAGCTGGCTGACTTGAGGTTGACGGTGCGCCCGCGATTCGTGACTGTGCATTTCATTCTCATGAAGAAATCCCTCTCTGTGCTCAGCTCCTTGCCTTTCTTTCCCATGCCTGTAGATTAACACACACACACACACACACACACAGAGAGAGAGAGAAACGTAAAGAGCGTCTTCAGTTTAGACATGGGCCAAAAATCCCAGGAAAACATTCCTAGCATTCTCCTTCCGTGCAAACGGAAGCCTAAACTCAACACAAATATTTTTTCTTTGGTTATCAAATTCCAAAAGATCTTACAGCACTTTCAGCTTTTGATATTATCACTTTTATAAAAATAAATGTGTAAGCTAAAACCAAGCAGAATTACAAGCTGAAGTAAAATATGACTGTTTGAACAGTTAATGCAGTATAAATGCATATCTTGTTCTTAGCGAACAGTTTGCCATTAGGCTTTCCCTCATGTTTTGCACAGAAGTGACAAGCGTTCAAAGAACAGTTTGTGTTCCACAGAAGAAAAGAATCATTCATGATTGAAATGACATGAGGTTGAGTAAATGAGGATCATTTTAAATTTTTGGGTAAACCTTTTCTAAGTGTTTTATTTTATTACCACTTTTTATTCCATTATAATGGTTTAATTTAAATTTTAGTCATCAAAAAGCAAAAAACGTATACAATTTAACAACAATTTAATACAATCTGAAGAAAAACTATTTTTAGGGCCTTATGAAATCCCTTTTATGTATTTAAAATAATTTAAAAATAATAATAAAAAAGTTATTTTCCTTTTTTTTTTGTAGATTCCATTCTTTTCTGTTGTAATTTTTTTGGGGATTCCATTTTAATGGTTTCATTTAAATTTCAGTAATCAAAAAGCATGTCTAAATAATTGAAATAATTAAACAAACGATTTAACAACAAATTATTAAAGAAAAATTACATTTATAGGGCCATCTAAAATCCATTTGATTTTTTCCCAAATTATGCTTTTTAATTTATCTGGAGTCTGTTTCAATAAATATAATTAAAGGTTAATAATAATAAAAAATATCTAATGAATTGGATTTTTTTTTAATAGGAAACGTTTTCTTTGTTTTTCCAGAAATTTTGTGTTGTCTTAATTTACAATTTTTCCAGATTTATGATTTAATACAAATTTATCATCAAAAACGGTGGTTATTAAATAAACATTACTATTTTAATTCATGTTTTAAAATGCAATCAAATGAATATGTAACAATTCCCAATAAAGTGCATTATGCGAGCGGTGTCTTGTTTTGGACACACGACACAGGTGACCACCTGACCCTCTCAACAGCTTGTTTTATTACAGTGAAGGAGGCAACCACCTGAAATAGCACAATGAAACTTGACCTTAAGAGGTGAGAGGTTATAAGAGGCATGCAAAGAGCAGTCTGAAAGTGTCGAGGTCAAATAAAGGAGACGCAGAATAAAAGGGGAAGGGGCTATGGGTGCATGTTTTTCAAGGCATGATTGTTATTTCTTCAAATAACCAATCCTCTCCTACGAAGCCATGTGTTTTCTTTACATTAGGACTTACATACTTGTTTTAGGATTTCTGAAAGTCTGTTTGCAGAAGCGATAAGAACGTTTCTTGAGAGCCTCCAGCTCCTCTTTCTCTACGGCTAAAACCACTACAGTCCAATTCATCTTCATAAGAAAAAAGCCCATAAGAAAGCATGTTTACACCAACCAAGTTTTGAATGTTAAATGCTTTCACATGCTTTTTGTAGGCAATTCAGAGTTTGCATTGAAACTTGCAATTCACGTACATGCACTCAATGTTAGTGCGATCATGTTTTCAGCTGATTACATGCAGATTTTCCCTCGAAAACATCAGAGCAATATAACATATTCCTCTCTGTTTTTCTCTAGGCTGTTCTCTGGCATTCTCACACGCTTTGTCTACGTATAGCAGGATTTGAAGCTGGTGAAGCTGAATACACTGAAGTGACATACCGGCTTTGAGGCTGAGGTTCTCGCGGATCTCCTCGTGGTCACAGGGGTGAGTGAAATCAAAGATGCTGTGCCCTGTGAGTTCCACCTACAGAGAAAGACATGCAGCTGCTGTCACTGCATTATATGTGAAACGATCCGTTTTTCAGAACAGGTGAATCTCATGCAATCTGTCATTACAGTATATTACACTAACATTCAAAGCTTTGGGATTTTTAGTAAAAAAAAAAAAAAAGAAATTAATACTTTTATTTAGCAAGAATGCATTAAATTGATCAGAAGTGACAGTAAAGACTTTTCTAATGTTACAAAAGATTTCTATTTCAAATAAAAGCTGCTTATTTAAACTTTGCATTCCTCAAAGAATCTTTAAGAAAGGATCATATATAGTTTCTTCAAAGTACTTCATAAACAATATAATAATAATAATAATAGTGTTTCTTGAGCAGTAAAACAGCATCATGTGACACTGAATAAATCCCAGAAATAAATGAAAATTTACAATATATTAAAATAGAAAACAGTTATGTTAGATTGTAATAATATTTCACAATATTACTGTTTTTATTTTTACTTTTTTATGCAGCCTTGGTGAGCATAACTACGGAAGTTCTATGCGGCCATGCATTACTATTTTTTTCCTTCTTGTTTTCTCATTATAACGACTTAATTTTCTCCTTATCTCGACATAACGGGAGTTGTTTTCTCGTTATAACGACTTAATTTTCTCGTTATCGCGACATAACGGGAGTTGTTTTCTCGTTATAACGACTTAATTTTCTCGTTATCTCGACATAACGGGAGTTGTTTTCTCGTTATAACGACTTAATTTCCTCGTCATCTCGACATAACGGGAGTTGTTTTCTCGTTATAACGACTTAATTTTCTCGTCATCTCGACATAACGGGAGTTGTTTTCTCGTTATAACGACTTAATTTTCTCGTCATCTCGACATAACGGGAGTTGTTTTCTCGTTATAACGGCTTAATTTTCTCGTTATCTCTACAGTTTTTTTTTTAACAATGATTGCTTGATCTACTGTTGTTATAGTAACAAACTCAACTTTGACACGCATCTGATGGACAGATAAACCATGCGCTCTTACTGTAGCCTATGTCATGGATATTTCAGCAAATTGTGCTTCACATAGTAATAACGTCTACAATACAAAAATAAAGGCTGATCAATCACGGTTGATATTTCCAGAGATATTTCCCGTTATGTCGAGATCACGAGAAAATGAAGTCGTTATAACGAGAAAACAACTCCCGTTATGTCGAGAT